ATTATTCTCACGGCCGACTTTTTTCTTTCTTTTTCTTTTTCTTTTTCTTTCTTTATCCTAAATGTATTTTGTGTGTTTTTATTTATTGTTCATTTAAAAGAGAAAGAGAGAGAGAGAAAAGTAATAACTCGGACTCGATCGCGAAATGATGAATTTATATATATATATAAAAAAGAAAAAAAAAATTATTAAATTATATAATAGCCATATTTAAATTGTTTAAGCATAAAAATTAGTTTTTAAATATTTAACACAAAAACTCGTTGTTTTTTTTTTTTTTTTTTTTTTTATTTCGGGTATTCTAGTTTGTTACTGTAACGAAAAATCAATTTTTCTCTCAATGTGTAAAAGAAATAATTAAATAGTCATTAGATTAGTCGAAGAGGGAAAAAATTATTATCATTATTATTATTAATAATAATAATGTAAGAAAAAAAAGGTTGTCAAGGTTTTTCTTCTTTTTCTTTCTTTTTTTTTTGTATGACGTCACTTTCCCCCTGCCCCCTGCCCCCCACCCACATGACTTTAAATTCTAAATTATCTAGTATATAAGTTAACTTTATATATTTGTACGCACAAACAAACAAACAAACAAAATGGGAAAAAAATTTGCTCAATGGTGAATTGTTATAAATTTCTCGAATGTTCCAAAACAAATCATCTTGCCATAGAGAAAGAAAGAGAAAAGAGAGAGAGAGAGAGAAAGAAAACCTTTTACACAACTTTTGCAAGCAAGCCATTGATCTCAAAAAAAAAAAAAATTAATAAATGTTTTAATTAATTAATCTTATGTATAATAATAATTATTATTATTATTATTACTGTTATTAGTGATTTTTTTTTTTTTTTATTCGACAAATAATTCAAATGATGATTATTGTAATTATATATATATAAATTTTTTTTAATAATAATTATTATTATTATTTTGGAAATTATTTATGTTGATAAAATTATTATTATTATTAGTTTTTTTTTGGTTAATAAAAGACGACGTGTAAGCAGAAAGACCTTAAGAGTTTTTTTTTGTTTACATTAGTCAGTCAGTCAATCAATCAGTCATAACGATTAAAAAAAAATTATATATATATATTTTATTATTTGAAATTTAGTGTAATAATAATAATAATTAATTAATTAATTAATTAAAAAAAAAAAAATTTTTTTATATATATACAAGTCTTTCAAATTAATTGTGAGTACTAATCAAAAATAAATTTATTATTATTATTATTAAATGATGCTTAATTTAAAAAAAAAATTATTGAGTTTATTATTATTATTATTATTGTAAATCTCTGATTATGATATATATATATATATTTATATCAATGATAAAATGATAATTATATTTAAATTAAAAAAAAATGAAATTATAAAAAAAAAATAAAATAAAAAATTATTAACAATAATACTTTTAAAAAAAAAAATTGTTTTTGTTTGTTTTCATAATCACCTGTCATAATTGAATATAACAAGTAATTATAACAACCTTCATATTTGTGCCATGCCAACAACAACAACAACAAACAACAAACGATTTACCGAAAAAAAAATATATCTTATAGTCGTCTTATATTCTCTCTTTGTCTTTGTTATAATGACTAAATATCGACCTTGAAACGACAATGTCATCATCATCATCATCATCGTAAGTTTGTTTTTATATATCGATTGTTGTTGTTGTTGTTAAAGCCTAATAACACACAATCAATCCGTTTTATTATTATTATTATTATTATTATTATTATTATTATTATTTGTTTGTTTTTTTTTTTTCGCATGGTAAAAATTTTCTTCCTATGTCATACGTCATTTACACGTCGTCGTCGTCCATTTTAATTTTCCTTTTACAAATATTCTACCGTTAAATAATCGTTTTTTTTTTTTGATACAAACGCAACAAACAATTGTTATCATTTATTTTTTCATTATCAACAACAACAACACGCGTACGCACGCACGCACATGCACGCACACAAAAAAAAACTTATTAATATTGAGATTATTATTGTTATTATTAATCGTAAACTTGATAGAGATATTATTAATGATAATAACGTCGTTGTCGAAATAAATTTATTTATAATTATTATTATTATTATTATTACTATCATTATTATTATCATTAGTACGCCAGTCCTTAAAAAATATTTTTTTTTTTTTTTTGTTAAAAAAATTAATATTCAATAACGCGAAATTTTTTTTTGTTGAATTTTTATTGTTACTATTTACAGAAATTGGCCTTGTTTAAAATGGCGGTTAAAATAAAAAAAAAATTTTTTTCTTTTTTTAATACATTAAATTATGAATTTAAATTAATTTTCTTTTCCCTCCCCTTTCCTCTCCCTCTCCCTCCCCCCGGGTGAACTGATGTCAAAACCCGTGGAAATAATAATAATAATAATAAAAGACATCTCCAGATTTCTCCTTTTGTGACGTCACATACATCAAAGGGGGATGGGAGGACTTTAATAAACCGGATATGGTAGTTGAAAACAACGGAAACGTACCAGTGGCTACCACCGCCACCTTAAAATCCCGATTTATGAAAGATTCTGCAGAAGAATCACATTAATAATAATAATAATAATAATAATAATTCAAAATAAATTTTTAGAAAAAAAAAAAAAATTTTTTTAAATTTTGTATAAAACGTGGCAACAACACATGAAATCTCTCTTTCTCTTTCTCTCTCTCTCTTTCACCGCCATTATTGAAAAACCAGCTCGCACGAAATATATATATATATATATAAAAAAAAAGATTTCAGTTTTATCAACAACATTTAAGTTTAAACATTTTTTTTTGTGTGTGAAACGCAAATACAACCAACCTATTATTATTATTATTATTTATAATAAATTTAATATAAAAAAAAATGTCCGATTATTATTATTATTATTATTATTATTTCATTATTAATATTAAATTAATAATCCAATGATTATTTAAATATTCGTTACAATTTCTCTCCCAACCTCTATCTCTTTCACTCTCTCTCTCTCTCTCTCTCTCTCTTTCCTTTTTTCGTGTAATCAATGAAGGTCTTATCATTGATATTTACAATCGCTTAAAGGATGAAAAAAAAAACGTTTCAATATCAAACATGGCAAATATTTAAAAAAAAAAAAAAAAAAAAAACGATTTCACCGCGCGCGCGTTTTCATGTGTGCGTAATTCGGCATGAAAAGTAATAATAATAATAATAATAATAATTTTTACATTTTGCATTAAAATATCATTATTATTATTTCGGTCTTTTACGATATTACTTTCCTCCTTTGTTTAATTATTATTATTATTATTATTATTATATCCTTTTTTCTTTTCGTTTCCGGTATGATTTTTTTTTTAATGAATTTTTCACCCACCCACCCACCCGCCCTTCCCCCTTTTAAAACGTTCGAATAAAATTTAATGCGACGAAAGAAAGAGAGAGAGAGAGAAAAAAAATTTCACCTGCAAACCCACAACAAACAAAACAGCAAACAAAGAAGCAGAAGAAGAAGGAAAAAGAAATATGGCCGACAAAACAATAGAAAAAAAAAAAAAAAGACCTGCAACAAATTCCAACCTTTTCTTTAATAAAAAGGGTCGAGAGAGAAAAGAAAAGAAACCTTTTACGCACGTCTTAATTCAAAATAAAAAAACAGGTTAAAACCTGTTCGTTCCTTTTAACATAATAATAATAATAATAATAAAAATGTATAAAAATTTTCGATTCGATCCAAATTTTTTTTTTTTTTGACGTAAATCTCTCTTTAAAAAAAAAATACGAACGTCATTTTTATATTTAAATTTTTTTTTTTTGGATGCTTAATTGCAATTAAAAAAACTAAAAATCAGGGTAGGCTTAAGGATTTAGATATAAAAAAAAAAAAAAATTTCATGTCGATTCGCACGCACGCACGCACGAACGGAAAAATTAATTTTTTTTCCGAGTAAAATAAAAATTTCCTTTCGACGTCGCCATTTTTTTCTATTTATTAATTGTTTATACAAATAATAATAATAATAATAAAAATTACACAACGAATTAGGGGTGTATAAAATTTACCGCGAGAGAGAGAGAGAGAGAGAGAGCATATGTGAACCCGAGGGGCTTGTCAATAATAATAATAAAATTATATATATATATAATAAACAAACAAACGAACAAACAATACTTCGACTACTACTACTACTACGTGACAAACAACATGAATATTCGAACAGAAAAATATTAAGAAGAAGATTTCAACCGGATACGACACGCGAACAAACGTACGTACGTTTTTCCTTCCTCGTATTTGTTTGTTGTTGTTGTCGTTGTCGTTTGCTCTGTCGTTTGTGTGTGTGTGTGGTGTGATGTTACGCCTTGGTTAAGCCTACACGAATCACAATTCTCATACACAAATAA